CCCCCACTCCCAAAATAACCTGTTTCTGCCAGATGTGGTGGATCTCTGCAAATTCCAAACAGCCAGGACTATGTAGTGAGACCCAGTCTCCAAAAGTATCTCCTAACAGCAGAGACGGTTCACACAAAGGTGCTTGTTGCCAAGACAAAGGCAAGCCTGACAACCCGAGTTCAGTTCCCCTGAACCCATGTAATGGAAACATTACTCCATAATAATTAAAGATATGAAGAAATACCTCCGCTTGAGCTTGGCCAGCCCAGATAATGGCCTGGAGAAGGACCTGGGCATAACGGTATAAAGAGTTCATTCTTCAGAGCTGATTCTAACACAAGCCAGGGCGGAAAAGCATCTGGGCAGCAGATTGTTGTTTTGGCTGAAGTCTGATGGTTTTCCCAAGCTACCAATTGAGAGTTAACTAGGTGGGAGGGACAGGCAGGTTGTGTCTTTGGTAACCAGTGGGTTTCTCCCAAAGGGCCTGCTATGGCGTGCTTCGGTTCATCATGGAGAGTGGGGCCAAGGGCTGCGAGGTCGTGGTGTCCGGGAAGCTCCGAGGACAGAGGGCCAAGTCCATGAAGTTCGTGGATGGTCTGATGATCCACAGTGGAGACCCTGTCAACTACTACGTCGACACGGCCGTGCGCCATGTGCTCCTCAGACAGGGTGAGCGTCTGTGCTGGGGAGGAGCCGGGGCCTAGGCTCTGTAGCTGAGCTGAGTAGTGCTGGGTGGCTCGGAGTGCCTAGGGTAGACTAGCAGACGGCTGTGAAGACTTGCATTGTCCCCGTCTCTGCCTTCGTGTGCCCTTCGGTGATGACAGGATGACGAGTCAGAAAGGTCACGTCCTGCTCTTGGGCCGTGTCAGTGCCATGTTCTGTGGTGCTGTGCATGGTTCCTCTGGCAAAAGTGTCCAGCGCACTGATTGATTTAGAGGCATTTGTCTGAGAAGGGCTGCGTGGCAGTAGGTACCACTGTTTCCTTGCTTTCCTGTTGTATGGTGGCAGCTGGTAAAAATCTCAGCTCAATTTTAGCCCTGGTGTCTTAGGTGTGCTGGGCATCAAAGTGAAGATCATGCTGCCCTGGGATCCAAGTGGTAAGATTGGCCCCAAGAAGCCTCTGCCGGATCACGTGAGCATTGTGGAGCCAAAGGACGAAATCTTGCCCACCACCCCCATCTCAGAGCAGAAGGGTGGGAAGCCAGAGCCACCTGCCATGCCCCAGCCAGTGCCTACAGCCTAACAGGTATGTCTGCGGGACCTTCCTGGGCCACACGGACCTGTTTGGTTGGGGTTTTGTTTGTTTTTACTGTTAGTTCTGATGTTTCAGTGTGTGTAATTACACACTGTCGGAACTTACTGTGGGAGGATGCGAGTTGGAATGTGGTGGACAACCCCACAAACCTTCACTGCCTCATGGGAGCGTACACTTCGTAGTAAGTGAAAGCACTCGGATGAGTTTCTTCTTACATTGTTTTGTTTTGTTTCAGGGTCTTGGCAACTGCACCTGGAGGCTGGATGTTGTCCTGTACAGACGTTTAATAAAATCTTGCACAAAAGCACAAGGCCTGACTGGATTGTGTCCAGTGTTCAACTGTCACTGAGCTGTGTTGGCCTGAGAAGTGTTGCTTACCCTGTTGGTTTAAGCTGGGGTCTGTGACGGCTGGTGGACCCTGTGTTACACAGTTCAGGGTTAGAACAGTTAGGCTTTGGTGGTCATGATGGAACCCAGGTCCTTACAGTAAGCATGTGTCCCCAGCCTGGAGGGCTACATGTGTGATACCTTCCCCTGGCGTGTAAGAAATCTTGGGTGGGCCAACAAGATGGCTTGGTGGGTAATTGCTTTCTATGAAGGCCTGTGACACTTACCCTGCAAGTAGAAAGTAGATTGGCCTCTGTTTTACCATGCAGTGGTGTCCTAATCTCAGCTTTCCTAAAATAAAAAGAATTTTTCATGCCTTTGAACTCAGAAGTTTGAAATATAAAGCTGTCTTTAGAATGAATCCACATTTCTAAGTCTTGTACTTAGCCATTATGTTTTGGAAAATATGGTAAATGCAGAAATTATTGGCAGCATATTTATCATAGTATCTTGAAAGCATTTACTATTGATGTTTTTTTTGTAAGGAATTAAAGTTAGCTTGGAAATTCTATACTCTGGTACCATAGAGAAGAGTTGGGATGAAGGTGTCAAGGGCCTGGGGCGCAGCCTGACTAGGCCAAAAGACCAGCGACTATTAACTAACTTAATTCCACATGTGTCGGATGCAGATGTGCAGCATTGGTTCCTGCGCACCAGAAGAGGGCACCAGATATTACAGGTGGAACTCACTGGAAGCTCCCAGTTTCTGGCACTTGTTCAAGGTGGTGCCGTTGAGCAGAAGCATGACCCTGTGGGTTTTGGTTTTGAGGCAGGGTCATATTCCTGACTGGTCTGCAACTCAGACCACCTGCTTCTACTTGATGGTTTCCCTGTATCCCTGGCTGTCCTGGAACCCTCTATAGACTGGACAGGCCTTGAACTCAGGTCAGCTTGCCTTTGCCTCCTGGCCTGCTTGTTTCCAGTACTGTTTCTTCCTTAGGGCTATTCGATTTTGATGCTAAAAACATGTTTTTTTTTTTTTTATCAAAGCTGTAGTATGTATAAAGTGAGATTGTAACCCCTTGGGTCCTCTAACAATATTTAATCTTTGTATTGGGCAAATTCTATTGCTAGCTGGTTGGCAGCAAGCCTAGCCTTTGCTGTGTAAGGGAGTATATTTCTCTGAGGTTCACCTCAAAGTCTTCACTTCAGCCCTGGATAGCTCTGAAACGAGTCTTTTGCCCACCCTACCCCTAACCTACAAGAGAAAGATGCACTGGGAACAATGAACAACCCATCATCTTCTGTTTTCTTTAGGTATCTTTTTTTTAAAATATTATGTATCTAACATTCTGCCTCCATGTATGCCCACATGCCAGAGGAGGGCGCCAGACCCCATTACAGATGGTTGTGAGCCACCATGTGGTTGCTGGGAATTGAACTCAAGAACCTTTGGAAGAGCAGGCAATGCTCTTAACCGCTGAGCCATTTCTCCAGCCCCTTAGGTATCTTTTTGAGACATAGTTGACGCTTGCCTGGTACTCACTCTATAGAACTAATAATGTGTCCACAAATAAATAACTCCCTCAAATGCTCACTAGTTGAATCATGAAAAGTACTGATTCCAGGTTTCAAGTCTGATATTCTCTATCCACTTACATATACTGCTGAATTTCTTCGTTCCACAATTGAAACATTTTCATTCGCAGATCTGTAAACATCAATTACAATGACCTAATACGTGGCTTTAGAAATTTGGCACGTTCCTGGCATGGTTGAGGTCCTGGTTTCAATATTACCCTCCAGTCACCATTTGCAGAGGACAACTTGTGGGTGTCCAGGTTTGAACTCAGTCGTGCCAGTGTGACTCACTAGCATCCCTCCGTACGTCCCTGCATTCATCTGATCTGAGTGAGGTTTCCTGTCATGACTGACTGTGACCTATTTCTAGTGGAAGGGTGCTGTAGTGGTTTTGCTCTTGTCTTGCCTGTGTCCCAGCAGAGGGTGCGTGCATAGAAGAGCAGTCACACTGTAGTAATTGGATAAAATTTAAAAAGAGGGTCCTTGGGGAATCAGTGGGAAGCTTGGGGTCCGTCACTGCTTGGCCCTCAGGAAGTGTCCAGCCAGGGGAGACACGCCTATTGTTCCTCGGTTTACACGCAGTAGGTACCCTTGCTTTGTCCTGAGTGTCCCCTTGGGGTGCTGGTCTGTGCTCCTCCCCTGCTGCCATTATCAGCTGTGTCCAGACGGCCAGTTCCTTAATCAGTGGTACTGGAGCTCAGCTGGGACCAGAGCCTTTGTGCCTGGCTCTGATGGCCCTGGGGCTTTGAGGATGGGAGATGGGAAACAGACTCCTTTATAAAGGCAATCTGAGTGCAGGCGAGGGCCTGCAGATGGGGCCAGCCAGTACCTGGGGCTGCAGCCTCCCTGGAAACAGTCTCGGATCTCTGGTGTGTTTTCCCCTTTCCCCATCCAGCAGTTTGTCTCTGCTCTGGAGCCCTGAGCCACACCAAGTATACAGTGGCCTCAGAGTTGTGTCTCACCAGGTACACCCTGGCCTGTCGCTGTGGTGCATTTCATCCTGAAACAAATGCTGGGCCTGGAGAGATGGCTCAGTGTATAAAGGCTCTTGCTGCAGCTAAGCCTGCTGGTTGGAGTTCGGTCCCCAGAACCCACATGTTAGGAGGAGAGAACCAGTTTGGTCATTTGACCTCCAGACGGGTGCCATGACACAGTAAAATAAAAACACATGTCTACAGTCGTCTGACCTCCAGACGGGTGCCATGACACCGTAAAATAAAAAGAATACATGTCTACATTAATAAAAGGAAATGAGGTAATGGGTGTGCTAACAGCTGGATGCAGACATTCCTCTGAAACTGCTACACTGGGACCTCATCCTCTGTCATAGCATTGAATGGGGACAGGTGACAATGGCTCAGCTGGCAAAGTGCTTGCCATGCTGCCTGATGACCTGAGTTGGGATCCCCAGAATTCAGGTAAAGCTAAAAGGAGAACAGACTCCACAGAGTTGTCCTCTAGCCTCTGCATGTACTTCATGTACATGTATACATACAACATGAACTCACTATAGTAAATGGATAAAATTGAGAAAGAAGTAGGGTCCATCGGGTAGGTGAGTAAGTCATCCGGATTAGCGTCATTTGGAGGGGTGGAGGGGAACTTAAAAAGTAGAGCCTCACCAGACAGAATCTGCTGGCACCTTCGTCCACGTGCAGAACAGTAGTCTAAGTAAGTATGGCTGTCTGGGTAGCCCACAGTGGCAGAGGAGTCCTGGCAAGCTGCAAAAGCAAGAAGGAACTGATATAGGGATACCTCCTCCGGACAAAGCAGGCACGAGCTAGAACACACCCAACTTCTGAAAAACGTTTTATTTCTACAACAAAAGGGGCAATAAGTTAAAGGACTATTCACATGAAGTTCCAGGAAGAGTCAACTGCCGTGCCCTAATTTCCTCCTGGCTCAGGCTCTGGACAATGGTGACACAGCCGTGCGAGCTGGTACAGCGTTGCAGTGATGGCTGGGCTTCCACCTGCCCACTGCTAGGATCAAAGGTGAACACGCTTTTGGTGCTCTCCCCATGTCCATCCCGCCCACCAAGAATGTAGACCTTCCCGTCACACACCGTCACGCCACAGCTCTCCTGAGTGGACAGACAGACAGACAGACAGACCGTTAACTGGGATGCGGCCAGGGACTCTCTTGGTTCTAGCTGGCCATGCAATCTGGATGGAGATTAAATAATTGGGTGAACCTGACCCTTACTAAATAAATGGCCCGGACAAGTCACCTGCTCTGCGTCTTAGGTCTCATCTGCTCAGCTCAAAGATCAACTGCCCTCATCACTGACATCGTATGTGGGATATCTTTCACTTGATCTAAAAACCATGGCTAGAAGATTGTATGCATGCAAACAGTAACACCATCCTGCGGTCTTATTCAGAGCCGGGAGCCTAGGCCTTGGAATCACCCAGGGCCAGAACTGACCGAGACCATCAATTATACATCTCCATAGTTTCTCTGGAGTCTTGGGGCAGCGGGGTTGGGGGGAAGCGAGGGGTTATGGACACCCAAGATTTGCACCTCTGGTCGCTGATGTCACTGGAGCAAGGAACTTAGCAAGTCCCTTGCCTACTCCCTGCTAGTTGGTACCTTTGTGGTAGACCAGAATCACAGCACTTGGATTCTAGATACTGACTTACTACAGCCCAACTGATGGCCCTGGGCCAACCTCTCATGAGAGGTGATTTGTCGTCACTGGGAGGACAAGCAAGGGGAATGTGGGATGCTATCTAGTGTGGAGTCATTGTAAGCTCCAGAGACTCGGGAGTGGGTCTTCACTCCTGGATCTGCCAGTGCAGGAGCCCTCACTTACCACAGGGCCTGGCAGCTCGGCTGCCTCTCCCCAGACATCGGTGCCAGGGTCGTAGGTGAAAATCTTACTCATGAGACCGCCCACCACGTAAATGGTGTCCTCCAGGGAGACGGCATCCAGACACCGCTGCAGGAAGGGTGCTGGTGACCGCAGACTCCACTGGTCCTTCTTGGGGTCAAAGCATTGCACCTGTGGGAAGGACAGCTGTGGTGAACGAGCCTCACCTGCAGAACTGCCCTCCACTGGCATCCTCTTACATCTGTCTCTAGGAATACCTGGCAGATTACCCTAATTTGTATCCCACTATGATTGGCTTATGATGTGCAGGGAATCAAACCTAGAGCTTGCTGCATCCTATAACCCCAGTTTATAATAGATGCTTTTTTTTTTTAATGGAGGGAAAGCATTTTAACCAATAGTACCTCTGTCATCTAATTTTTATAAGATTACTTTTATTTATGTGTGTCTCTCTATGTCTGGCTGCGGAGGCCAGAAGAACGTGTTGGATCTGTAGTTAAAGTGAAAGGCAGTTGTGAGCACCTGACATGGGTGCTGGGAACTAAATGCAGGTCCTTTGTGTGAGCGGCAAGTACTCCTAACCTTTGAACCATCCCTCCAGCTCAATCTTTCAAAAAATTAATTTTTTTCTGAGGGGGGCTAAAGATAGGGTTTCCCTGTGTAGCCCTTGCTGTTCTGGAACTCACTCTGTAAACACAGGCTGTCCTCAAAACTCAGAAATCCGCCTGCCTCTGCCTCCCTAGTGCTGGGATTAAAGGCGTGTACCACCACTGCCTGGTTCAATCTTTCAATTTTTAAAATCTATGAAACCCACATGGATGGTACCAAACAGAAGAGTTCAGGTGTCTCAGTGAGTACCCTCTGAGTTTCTCTCTCCCTCGCTCCCTCTCTCTTGGGTTTTTCGAGACAGGGTTTTTCTCTGTAGCTTTGGAGCCTGTCCTGGAACTCACTCTGAGAACCAGGCTGGCCTCGAACTCACAGAGATCCACCTATCTCTGCCTCCTGAGTGCTGGAATTTAAGGCATGCACCACCTCTGCCCGATTTTTTTTCAAGACAGGGTTTCTCTGTAGTCCTGGCTGTCGCTCTGTAGACCAGGCTGACCTCGAACTCGGGGATCTGCCTGTCTTTGCCTCCTGAGTGCTGTGATTAAAGGCATCTCATTTCCTTGATCGAAATCTGGGAAATGATTACCGGAGTGCTGACTGGATTCAGAAAATTAGATTGTCTCACACCAGTCCCCGATCTATCCTGCACACAGTAGGCCACTCCGTTTCCCTGAAGCCTCTAATCCTAACCCCAAGGCCTGAGCACACCTTGTCAGTGTTGACACCGTCCTGTCCAGCGCCCCCAATCACGTAGAGCTGACCAGCGCAGGGCGCCACCGCTGCAGAGCTCACGGCCTCCGGCAGGGGCGCCGTGGCCTCCCAGGTGTTGGAGAATGGGTCGTAGCGCTCAACGCTGCGCAGGCGCCGCAGGCCATCGAAACCACCCACTGCAAAGAGCTGAGGGCGAAGACAAAAGACTCGGGATTCAGAGCTACAGGCCACTCTAACACCCCACCGCTCCAATCTGTAAGCCCGCCAGGGGCATCTCAGCGCAGACTCTGCCTGGCCATGTTCCTCTCTCTCTAGTTCAGGAATCCCCTTCCCTGTTAAGTGCCGGAGACAGGAGACAAGTGTCTGTATGAGGAGTACTCCAGCTACGGATGACGCTTAGTAATAACTCGAGTGGTTACTAAGGGTAACCACCCACGCACCCGATTCCTGTGTGTTTCTGGATGCAGAATAAAGTTTACAAAGACGCCTGGCTGTATTTTGCTTGTAAGCGGCAGAGTCAAGACTCAGTACCTGGTCTGTTTGGTCTCATGACCCTCTTGCCTCAGCCTCCCACGCGCTAAGATTACAGGTGTGAGCCACCAAGCCCAGCAGCTGTGATGACTGTTAGTACTATTATATGATCTTGAGCAAGTCCTAATGTTCCGAAGCCTCAGAGCCTTCCTTCCCTACATCCTGGATCTCAGGACGGCGGCAGCCAGAGCGTTCCTACCTGTCCCTGCAGGGTCACCATCTTGTGCCTCCACCTGCCCTTGTGCATGGAGGCAACCTTGATCCAGGTGTGCAGATGGGAGCTAAACATCCAGACATCTCTGCTGTTGATGTGACCTCCTATGGGGAAAGAAACAGTTGTCTTCCCCTAGATCTCTTACTAACTCCCCGTGTCCCCAAAGAGCCAAAAAGCACCCATAAATCCAAGGGAAGGCGTAAATCCAAGGGAAGGCGTAAGAGCATAGGAAGGCTTTCTCACTGGGTTGGGGTAAGACTAGGCCTATCACCCAGACGGTGTGCTCTGAATGGAAGGACAGGATATCAGAGAGATCCAGGGAGTGGAGGGTGCCTATAACCAGCTGCCCTGTGGTGCAATACCAGTGGAGCTCCGGGAACCAAACGGGGAGGGGTATCCTCAAGACAATCTTTAAGAATGTGTGATGGGCCAGGGGAAAGCAGGGCACCTTCCTTTTCCATCCTCATCTCTCCGAGGTGCTGGGATTATTATACAGTTTCTACACAGGAAGTGAGGATGAGGTTTAGGGACCAGGAATGACCAGGTGGCCTTCCTGTCAGAGCAAAGTCACAGTTTAAGGCCTTCCTGCCCCAAGCCTAGCATCAACGCTTCCCACAGGTGACTGGCTTTGCTGGACCACATGGTTTTAGCCACTAGCTGTAGGGGATTATGGGAAAGCCGGCCTCCATCTTCCGACTGGGGAGGAGTAAACAAGGAGTGTATGTGGGGAGTGGGGGGGACCGGGAGGCTCCTACTTTAGTTGTGTCCTCACCAGAAACGTAAATGTCATTTCGAAGTGCACAGGAGGCAAATTCAGAGCGTGTGTACCCAGGCAGGCTGGGCAGCGGGGTCCAGCGCCGACTCTCTGGGTGGTAAGCGTCAGCGAAAGGCAGCTTCAGAAGCCCCTTTCTGTCGCACCCGCCAATGACCACGATCATTTCGGCTAGGTCCATAAATCTGGGGTGAGGAGAAACCCAATAGCTGTACACGCACACTGCGGCCCTTTCCCAAGCCACCTCCACCTCCCGCAAACGGTGCAGGCGATTACTGAACCAGAACTCTAGTGCGCGATATCCCTAGCCCTTGGGTTTGTTATTCTTCTGGGCATCCAGCGCCAAGCCCCGTTTCTTTCTCGCTGTTTGGATCACACCAGGCAATGCCGCTGCCCTTCTGTCTGCCCTGCCCCTAGAACCCATCACTTTCAGCCTTACCTCTGGTTATGGATAAGAAGGGAGTTACTAACCCTTACCTTAGTCTACTGGCCTCTAAGTTACAGAAAAAAGACTTTCCCCAAAGCCTTTCCCCTTCCTTTGTTTAATCCTTCAGATGGCTGTTAGGATTATTGCCCCTTTTACAGAGGAGGAGAGTGAGGGGCTCTTGGATTACGGGCTAAATTGTGCTGTTTGGTCTGATAAGAATCCTCCATCCCTAACAGCTAAGGTACTGCATTCTTCCCCCCCAGCCCCTCCTAATGGGGAATTGCCAGGAGCAAGATGACTCAGACCTCCTGCAAAGCTCTCCGCCAATGACCCTTTGGGTTTAAGGCCTCACCAAGTTTTCCATACCCTCCGGCTAAGTGCTTTCCCAACCCATTTTGTGTCCCTGCCTTGAGCTCAAGTTAGAGACAGCATCACCACTGTCTTTTGTCCCTCAGATATGAAGGGCCATGGTAGACTTTCCCACCTATATAGTCTCCGGGCCTGGCATTGCTCTGGTGGAGTGGATGTTTCTCGTGCCTTTGTGTGCTTGTCTTACTAGCCAGTGGGTCCCTAGAGAGCAGATCCCAACAGAATGACGGATGGCGTGGGAATTAGAATGCATCCTGCTTTCACAAGCCTAACTCTTCAAGGCAGACTGCCAGGTACCAGGAAACGGTGACATTTCAAGAGGGGCAGTGAAGGAGCCAGAGCTGGGGAAGGCACGAGGCCTCGCTGGAGTGCGAGGCTAGCAAGTGAGAGGCCATACCTCCGCGGCCGGGCCCGCAGCGTGCCCGCCTCCCGGCCCAGGATGAAGCAGGCGCTGGCCTCGAGTAGCAGCGGGCGGCAGTCGCTGCAGGCCTGCAGCAGCTCGTCAGCCTCCACCTTCTCCAGAAAGTAGGCGGGCGCCAGCAGCGGCAGGCGCACGTGCTCCAGCAGGCGACGCAGGTGCCCGCGGCGAGCCGGCGCGTCGTGGCGCACCCAGCGCATGGCTGCCTCGAACACGGCCTCCTCGCGCGCCACGCGCAGCGCGGGGTCGGCTAGTAGCGCCGCCACCTCATCCGGCGCCAGCTCCAGGAAGTCGGCCTGGCGCGCCACCTCCACGAAGGCCTGGCGCAGCACGCGGCCGCAGCACTCGGCCAGGGAGGCGAGCGAGAAGGTGGCGGCCACGCGGCGCAGCGCCAGGCTGTTGGCGGCCCGCAGGCGAGCCTCGAGGAAGCGAGCGCACGCCTCGCGCAGCCCCGCCACGCCCAGCCGCTCAGCCAGCGCCAGCACCGCGGTCGCCTCCTCCTCAGCACACAATCGCACGCCCGCGCCGTAGACGTAGTCGAGCACGACGGCCAGCGCCGCCGCCGTCCCGGGCGCCTCGGGTCCTACCGGGACCACGGCCGCTGCACGCTCGGGCCGGGCGGCCGCGAAGAGGCTGCGGAAGTGGGCGCTGGCCGCGCTGAGCGCGGCGCGGTGGCACGGGAAGTCGCGGCCGCCGGCGCGCAGCACCACGTCGGTGAGGGTGCCACTCCGCCGGTACGCGTTGAGTGTCTGCAGGATGCGCTGCGCGTGGCACGGTGCCGCGCACGGGGCCTCCATGCCCGGCTCCGACTCCTGGCGCCCCAGGGTCTCCCGCATCCTGTGGAGAGAAAACACACATCGCATTGGTGATGGGCCTGCTGGGGACATCCCGCACATTTAGGCCTTCCTTAGCAGGGTCACTCACCACGCACTTCTGGTCATGCAGCTATTGTCCCCACCCTCACCCCACCCTGGCCCATCTAGACTTCTGATGGCATTTAGCCAACCCCTGCCTTCTGTGTCCAGTCCTCCGCTCCAGAATCCTGAACAGTTTTCTGCTCAGACTTGGCTAAGGTTTTTCCTGCCAGGCTCTTCAGGAAACAGATGGCAGACTCAAATAGGATAATTTGAGGAGACTCAAAAAAGGGAAGGGGAGGATGGAACGATTTTTACAAGTCTGGACTATGCGGTGTTTAGGGATTCCACGTGGGATTGAGTAGTGTCACGTGACTACCAGTAACAACAGGAAAACCACTCTCAACTTCTGAAGGGGGATCTCAGGGAGGTTCCTGGAACTTGGACAAAATGTCTATAGGAAGGGTCTGGTTACAAGAGCTGTAGTCTCTGGTAAAGGGATTCAAGCTATCCTTGACACTGTGTGTGTGTGTGTGTGTGTGTGTGTGTGTGTGTGTGTGTGTGTCCCTCACTTACACAAGGTCAAGTGTGTGTATTAATTAAGCTAGAGGGTTTTTTATAGCGTTTTTTTTAAATTTTTGTGCCAACAATCGTAACCCCTACCTTTCTGGAGCTCAGAAAGGACAGTAAAAACATTTAAGAAAGGGATTCCCGAGAGGAGTAGATTAGTTGAGCAAAAGCAGGGGAATGAGAGAAGTTTCCAGAGGAAAGATCCAGGCCCCAGACACATGGGGTTCTCATCTTCGTTAGTCTGGTGTTATCTGGCCTGGGCAAGCCACCAGTGCCATCTCTTCGGAAACATCCGAAGGCCTAGCCAGAGAATGGTAGCTGTCGGGCGGGATGTATGAACGTGCTGGGATTGTAGTAAGCCTCGATCAGCACTTCCTGGTGCAGGAGGAGGAGAGCATGGGGTGTGTGTGAGTTGCCTTCAAGACTCTGGGAAAAGCCTGTCCTTACCCACACCCTCTTAAGAGTTTGCTGTGGGGAAACGGTCACATACAAGGAGCCTGCCCTTCGGAGGTTAGCTGGGGAGGGGGGCATCGGAGAAAGGGTGTTTATAAAAACATGCCACACAGATTGCACTCTTCACCCTGGTTAGGAATTGGTCCTTAAGAACTGGCAGCTAAAGCTTGACAAGGCCTGAAGATAGGCGGTGCTCTCCTTCCCGTGGGAACTTACTCCCAGGCTCAGCTCAGCCGGTGCGTGTGTCCATTCTCCCAGGGCAGATCAGCCTGGCTTTCACAGCGTACGCGAGATCATGCTGAGTAGTGGACCCACCGCCTCAGTGTCACGCGAAATAAGCTCCTGATGGACAAGGACTGTAGCCCGGTAGAGGCGACCAGTCCAAGCCCACAGTGCACCAGGGCTGCTAATTCTAGCCGCTCCGCAGGACTTGCCAGGGTGGGGGGGCGTGTCCTCAAGGAACAAACCGGGATCCAGTGAGACAGGTCATCGGTCGGAGTACAGCAGAGCTGTCCTTAGCTAGCTTAGGACGCAGCTACCCTCCCTCTAGGCGGAGACTCGAGAAGGCAGGTCTCAGGAGAACAGCCCCCCCCCCCCCCGCCCCGCTATTATTGTGATGGTCCTTCAGTTCACCTCCTAAGAACTTTGCCAATACTTATTGCCACCTACTGCCCTAGGCTCAGGGAACTACGGGCACACGGTGATGGGAGACTCCAAGTTTCCAACTTGAAGTCCCACTGTCCGGGGGCCCAAGGACACTTGGGAAGGTAGGGATTCCCACGTGGGGCTCCATCAGCATTCTCCCATCTCAGAATCTAAGAAAGCTCATGGGCGGACTGAGATACAGTCAGTGGAAACCGGCTCGGCACTCCACTCTCCTGCTAACCCCGCCCCGCACGCTTTGGATGGACACTTCCCATAGCAAGATAGCCTTTTAGCCAGGCTTCCGAAACCCTGTCCCAGGTACTTGGTACTTACCTGGTCACGCCCTCTTCCGCTACTGCTGTTCTTGCAGATTCTAGCAGCTCCAGCCCGTGCCTGCCGCTTGCTGCCTCGCCTGCTTGCCTGCTAGCAGCCTGAGCTCCTGATTTTACTCTGGCTTCGCCTAGACTCCCACTTGGGCTCAGCTGCGGGAGGACAAAGGGACTGGACGCCAGGGGGGAGGGGAGGAGAGGGAGCCGGTAGGAATGGGCACTGGGCTTTTGTTCCGCTCTTGGACCAGTCTTGGGAGGGAGCTGTATGGATGAGCATGGAGTTGATTGTGTGTGTGTGATGTTGGGCAGTGGTGTTTCGAGGACTGGGGGTGACGGGTGTATGGTATACATATGGGGTATCTGCTTTCAGGTAGATGGGGTGGTTGTCAGCATGTAGGTGTTCTAGAACCCGTATGTGTGTACGTGCACAGAACACAGTGACTATGACCACTACATGTATAATCCCTGCTCAGCACAGCTGTCATCGTAAGCTTTTGCATAACCCATGTGTCTGTGACTGTTCATTTGCATGTCAGAGGCTTGTGTGTGTGAGATTATTATCATATGTGTGGACCTATGCTCATGCGTATGTGGCAAGGATCTCTCTCTGCTCTGTGTGTTGCATGTGGTCCTGTGACCGTGGTGTGTGACTGGAGGCGTGTGGGGCCAGTGAGATGGCTCAGTGGGTAACAGCACCACATGGTGGAAGGAGAGAACCTACTCACACATATGCAGTAGCACACATGGGCCCACACAGTACATAATTCACATATACAAAATCAAAACATAATCTAAGCCAGGTGGTGGTGGCGCACGCCTTTAATCCCAGCACTTGGGAGGCAGACGCAGGTGGATCTCTGTGAGTTCGAAGCCAGCCTGGTCTATAAGAGCTAGTTCCAGGACAGGCTCCAAAGCTACAGAGTAACCCTGTCTCAAAAAAACCATGTGTGTGTGTGTGTCTGTATGTGTGTGTGTAATTTTGCCACTGTTATGACCCATAATGTAATGTCTGTGTTTTTTGACGGTCTTAGGCAACCACCGTGAAAGAGTCGTTTGACCATCAAAGGGGTTGGGACCTACAGATTGAGAACCACTGACCTCGTGCAAGATGGAGCAGGGGTCCAATCTCCCTTCTTCCCTTCAGGATGCATTCAAGGCCATGCAGATTCAGTGGGAGCCTGAAGAACTACAGACCTTCCCTGTTTCTACTCTGACCTTCCCCACAGAGGGCAGAAGGCAGAGCCCCAGAAACTGTGAGGTGGGAGGGGACACGGACACCAGTGTGGCCAGTACTGTGTTGACTTCCAGCTCAGGCACCCTTTCTCATGCTAAGCAGGGGGTGTGAGCCTGCTTCAGCCAGACCCACAGTCAAACCTCACCAAGGCAAGACATCTGCACTCAGGGCTTGTTCTGCAGGTCCAGGAGCTCAGATACCTCCATGGCACCTTGAAGAACTTGCTAACCCCGCTCTACAGCCTGTCTCAGATCCAGGACCTCTTGCTGTGACATTCCTAGCTGGTTACAAAAGGTGCAGAAGGCTGACGTGAGGGCCTGTCATCCCAGGCTGGATGTGAGCTCCTGCTCTCCTAGGCTGGACGTAAGGTCATGCCCTTGCAGACTGGACGTGAGGGCCTGTCCTCCCAGGCTGGACGTAAGGTCATGCCCTTGCAGACTGGACGTGAGGGCCTGTCCTCCCAGGCTGGACATGAGGGCATGCCCTCTCATTTTCTCACTCTCAGCAGAGTTGGAATTATTTGATTTTGTTTTTGAGCCAGGTATGGTAGCACAGACTTTTAACCCCAGCACTAGGGAGTCAGAAGAAGGGAGATATCGGTTCAATGCTAGCCTGGTCTACATAGTGAATTCCAGGACAGCCAGGACTATGTAGAGAGACCCTGCCTCAAAAAATACATTATTTTATGTATATGGGTGTTTCACCTGTGTATATGTCTGTACTGTGTGGTGGAAGCCAGTCAGACAGCTAGGAGCCACCTGGTCCTCTGGAGGATTAGCCAATACTCTTAACTATTGAGCCATCTCTTCAGTCCACTGGAGTTTATTTTTTCAGAAAGACATCTTGGGGGCTAGAGAGATGGATCAATAAAGTTAAGAGCACTGGCTGCTCCTCTAGTTTGGTTCTCAGCACCCAGGAGATCCAATACACTCTTCTGGACTCTGAGAGTACCCACATGTACATACAAATAAATATTTTTAAAATTTAAAAAGATAGTTTTAAAGGCACGTGCTAACCACACCCTGGCAAGACATTTTAAGCACGAGTTAAGTAAGGGTATGGATATTCTCAAAGTAGCCCTGGCTCTGCTTGTTCAAAGCTATGTGACCTTGGATGATCTCTTTGCTATACTGCCCACGGGGGGGGGGGGGGAGCATTCATTGGTTTTGTAATCCAGGGATGCCGAAGCCCCAGCATCACCACTGACCAAGGGAAGAGCTTGGATATTCAGTCATCTTCTTTTCATCTCTGAAATGGCTCTTCCTCAAACCCAGGGGCCAGCACCCAAACCCAAATCCACACCATGTGTCCCCCAAATTGCTACTGACAATTCAGAGACAGCACACATTAAGATGGCAGCTTTAATTGTCCTGGCCCATAGGTTCCCTCTCCTGTAGGCATTTCTGGCCAGACGTCCATGCTTGACAGAGCTCACAGCGCTTTGCCCGGGTGGCCCATTGCCCTGCAGACACTGCTGTGGGAACCTGAGGTCCTATCAGTCTGTTGACCATGTGGTCTTCAAGGCTTCTTCTGACCCAGAGGGCCTGTTGGACAATTGAGTGTGAGGCAGAACAACCCCGAACCTGTGATTCTGGACATCTCTAGCTACTTCTCGGGGACTCAGAGGCCAGCGGTGGAGCAAAGCTGGTTGGGAGGAACACGTCTCCACCATAGCCACTGGTTTTCCTCCTGAGATGAACTTCCTTGTGCTTTGAGATGGGTGCAGAGAGTAGAGCTGCCAGGCAGGGGTGAGGCCCAGCCCACATCCTCAAAGGCAGGATGAGGACAGAGTCTCTCATCTCACAGCATGGACAGATAAATAGGAGTGGTCCCAGGGACGCAGCCACACCCTCCACTTCCACGGGGCACACGGCAAACCTTCCAGGCCGGGAGGCCAAGGACAGCTGTGAGATGGACCAGGAGACTAGGACCACGCTTCCCGGATGAAAAGCCCCAGGCCTGCAGGGGCATCTGAGAGGCTAGAGTCCTGGCCCACCTGGGCCTCGGTGGAGAGGTCATCCCCCAAGAGAGGCTGGAACTGACAAAGGAGCTTGGGGCATTCAAGTAGGCTGCGGAACCAGCTCCCCGCCGGCAGGCGCAGTTACTGTCAGCGCCTCTCTTCTAGATGCTACCTTAGGTACACGTCAGGCAGACAGATCTTCAGCTAACGGCCACCCCGGTCTGTGAGGGTCTTGGCACGGCTGCCACCGCCGCGAGGGCCCACGGGAGCGGCTGTGCTGTTGCCGTAGGTGTCGTAACTGCTGTCTGAGCACACGGAGAGCTCATCAGAGACCTCTACACCATCACTGATCTCTGTTGGACCAGAGGAGACAGGGTGTGAGTAGGGAAGATGGGCTCTGAGGACAGGGAGACAGGAGGGAGGGAGGGAGGCGCGAAGAGGCAGATGTAATCACTGGATCCAGTTAGCCATGAGCCCGTGGGCACTGAGCCTGCATTTAGGGGCCCCCTGGGTCCCTCCTGGGCCCTTAGTCCTCTGCCCCCTGGAACATCCTGCTGCAGAAAACCAGGACAACCTTAGGTGCTTTGTTACCCAGTGCTAACTTTCAGGCATTTGCACGCACACGCACACACACACACACACACACACGCATTTGCACACACAAGCATTTGCACACACAGATGATATTGGCACACACAGGCTTCTCTCTGTTTAGTGACTTCCCTTCCTATTGATCCCTCTTTTTCCTAACATCTGTCTCCCCATCTCTGGTATGTCGATCTAATAGATACCTCCTTGATTCCCCAGGCTGGACTGGGGCCTCCTGTTTCAAGCCAGCCTGGTTCATCCAGCCCCTATCACAGTCTGCAAGGGCAGGGGCCTCTCTTTGTCCAGTAGACTGTCTGTAGTCCTGTTCTACACTAGCTGCTTTTGCTTTGCTTTGAGACAGGGCCTCAGATAACTCAGCTCACCCTTTCTTGTCTCTGATCATTCCACAGGCTCCTCCAGCCATCCTTACATCCCAGTTACGTCAGCACCCCAAACCTTCCTTGCTACCCCACGGAGCTCTGGGCACACTTCCTGCCTGGGCTCTTCACCCAAGAGGTACAGTGATACCCAGTTTTGCATGTCTTTACAGCTGCCTTCATCATGGGAAGAGCAGCAGGGACTGGCAGCAGGGGACAGAACACAGCCGTCACTTACAGATGTCACATGTGAACTAAGCAGAAATGTAGGACCTTCAAACAGCCTATCACTGAGCTCCTGGATCTGGGGCTGTCTGACGTGTTTCTGTCCCTCAGTGAGCGCGTGGGTGAGAGCCTGAAAAGAGGCTATGTCCGCCTGTCCTTCTGTGTCACATGTGAACCGTCTAATCCAGGGCCCGTGCAGGCTGTCACCTGAGAAGATGAGCTTCTCTTTCATGACGCTGACGTCCCGGCTGGTCCGGCGTACGGCAGCGCTCAGCATGATCTGCTCTGGGTTATAACTCCGGATGCCACCCAGGCGCCACCTGTGGAGACGGTCCCGTGGGCATCAGGTCCCTCCCCAGGCTCCCTGGAGCAGACACCCTGCCCACTTCCATAGCGAGAGACCCACAGCACAAATGGGGAAACGGAGGCCCAGAGAGGGGCAGTCAACTGACGCCCAGCCAGGGCTTTCCTGCCCTTCCTTCTCCTCTCACTTATCAGCAATCTTGGCCCAGACAGGCAGTTTTATTAGTTATGCCCCGGCTTTCTTTGGGTGGGACACAGTTGCGGGGTGGGGTGAGCTCAGCAGATGTGACTGATAACCCACTTTTATGAACACACCAGCCTCAGGAAACCCCAGCAGAGGCTTCCTGTAAACCCACTAAATGCAGCGGGCTGAGAAAAGCCAGAAGGAGCCAAAGAGGACACTGAAGCAAGGTTTTGTTTAGGATTGGTCCTCACAGGTTCCCAGACGAGGATGTCAGAGGAACTTGGTATGGAATTATCCAACTAGAAATAAGAACCCGCGACTCCCCAGGAGACGGAACCCTGACGGGTGGTTGGGGGCAGTGAAGAGTCCATATGAAACTCACTGTGGGTTTCTAGACAGGGCTAGCACAGCAGAAATGGACAGACAGGGTGGCAGGACCGGGCAGACGGGGGTTGGGGAGCAAGAGGCAGGAGGGGAAGGCACTGTGCCTTGGCTGGGCCGGCTGCCTTGCCAATCCTTGTGGGCAGTGCTTGTTCCTCAGGCTCCTTGTCAGGCCCCCAGTGCCAGCCTCAACGCCCGATAGGTTGTGGTGTTGGATGAGTGTTTGTTGAATCAATGAATGAAAGAATCAGGCCCGCAGAGAAACAATCTTCCTTTCCCCTGCTTCACCTCCCAGGCTCCCTCTTCTCACTCTGGCTATCCCTGACCCTCAGGAGACAATAACTCTGGTGGGCTCAGTACCACATCAGGCAATGCATGTGGACTCTGCATGTGGGAAGAAGAGGTACGAGCTAAACTTCCTTTCAAGGGTTCAGTCTCATAGCCAGGTTCCAGCTTCTCCTGCATCCCAGCCTAGAAGCTGTTCAGCACAGCTACCTGACCCAACACAGGTCCTTAGACACCTGACCATCCCTAACACCTAGGTCTCATCTTAGAAACTAATGTTAGAACCCACTGGGGAGAGGATCAGGCCAGGGTCTCTACAGCCAGGCACATCCAGGACAGGAAAGCAACTTGGGGGGGGGGGGGGTCCGAGTGAGGGTGTGGGTCATAGACAGTGAAAAAAAGAAGGTGATGCAGAGAAACGGGGTGAGCCACTGGAAAGGAAGTCCAAGAGGCAGAAGCCAATGGAGCCAGACAGAAACAAAAATGGGGCTTTGCACAGGGCAGGTGGCAAAGGACCCCCTGAGTGCTGGACTTGGGGATGTGAGGACCTTCTCTCTCCCCAGAGGAGACACTCGGGTGCTGAGGGAAGCTGGGTCAGCACCTACCAAGGAAACACTGGTCCCCACCCTCAGCAGGGACCAAAAAGTACAGTACAGGAAGAATAAATCCCAGCACGCAGGAGGCTGAGGCAGGAGGACTTGGGTTACATAGTGAGGCTCATCTCAAAGGGGAAAAGGAACCGGAAAGGAGAGAGCAGAAAGGAGGCAGGTGGGGGCATGGAAAAGGGCCAGTGCTTCAGGCACAACAGCAGCTTTTCAGACAGACCTGGAAAGGGAGTGGCCAGAAATGGGGGGAAGAGGAGCAGGAGGGGAACACACCAGAATTACCTGATCAAGTGATAGCTGTGAGATTGCCAGAGTGCAGCAGAGAGGGGGAGGGGAGAGAGGAGGGACATGCGCCATCAGAGCAGGGTGGGACAGAGAGAGAACGTCAGTCAAGAGCCAACCCCAGCCCCTTGGTGCCTGGTTGCCTTGGGCCCCAGGCTGGCCCAACATCGTCCCCTCCCCGACCGCCCATTCCACCCATGGCAATCACATGCCAGCTGTCTTAGGGGTATGGGGGGTTCCAGCTGGCTGAATAGCACTCGGTCCTCCTAGGTTCGAACCCATGTCCTGGCTGACAGCGGGCAGACCGGCCACGGAGGGAGCAGCGTCCACCAGATACCACACAGCATATACCACAGAGCAGATTGGGAAAGGTTTGGCTCTAAGCCCCTGAGCTGGGTGCTCATCCTAGAAGCCATCCAGCTTGTGCTGAGGGCGGGGCCTGGGCCCCGCTGAGGATAGGCTGGGTATGGACATGTTGGGGTCTACTCACTTCTGGAGCACAAAGATGCCAACGATGAGGCTGAAGGAGATCAGGTCGGCAGTGACCCACATGAGGCAGTACTCGTCTGGGGGCTGTGGAGAGAGGACCCAAGGCCAGCTTCCGGTCAGAGCACATCTAGACCATGGGAGGAGAGGCAGGGGAGGAGCTTGAGGCTCCTCAATATTTTATTTTGTAAGTGTGGACTCTGGGCATGTTGTTCTACGTGTGTGTGTGTGTGTGTGTGTGTGTGTGTATTCAGGGTAGAAGAGGTGTGTTGAGTCTCGAGTGTATGTAAGCTTACAGGAGCTCAAAGCAAGAGCTGAATGATCAAAAAAAAAAAAAATCAATGGTTCCTTTATTTGCAGGTAAGGTGTCATGTGCCTGGCAGTGGAGCTATGACCTTACCAATAGGTAAGGGGCG